AGGTCCACGTCTTGGTATGAACAGCCAGATTAGATAAACGCAGGAGCCAAAATGGAAAAGGGCTGAATCTGCTTTAAAATGGTCATTACCACACAGCTTATCCTACAAACAGCCAAGTTAGAAAACAAAATACAGCACCTTTAGGTGTAGTGTAGGCGATCCAGAATAAGGGGATAAAATTATAATCAAACTGGAATTACTAGTCTCTGATATTTCCAGGAGGGGGGGGGGTGGTGTGAGAACTCTGATTATTGGCTTCAGATGCACAAGACGTTGCTTCATTTATTGCTTTAATTTACTTCCTGAAATTTAATGACTGCTTTTCTCTTCTGTTGGCACCAGTGATTATGAAACATATGAAACATACACTTTACCAAGATACTAATTTGTGGCCCCTGTTCAGTTATCTCCTGGTTTTACATGCTAATGTTGTCCCCAAAAAAATCTTCCCTTAATAATTCTAAAATGCCATCCCTTCCATTTCTCTTCGCTTTAAACATTACCAGAAAGTCTAAGTCGCGCTGCAAATAATAAATTCAGATTTTAGAAAAAAAATTAACACAAAAACAGTGATCAGGGTTCAAACATCCCAGACTACATGCAGAAACATGATTTAAACCACCTCATGACATGTAGGGATCCACAAAGGATCTCAAAGGGCCCCACAGCCAGGGAGATATTGGGGGCCGCAGTGGGAATGGGTGAGGACATAGTGGAATGTATCTCTATCTCTCTTCCGGAACAGATTAGGTCTATTTTTTTCCCAGAAACACAAGCGGATTCTCAGAGAAGCCCAGTGGAAATGCTGTAGATGATCATATCTACATGCATACAGCCTATTAATGATCACATTTACATTTGTTGTTGTTCTGTTAAATACAAAGTGCAACCAACAGTTTCACTTTCATGGACGATGCGTCATTAAAAATGTAGGAATAAAACTGGGGTTAGGTGTCAATACTAGGCCTACCAGTAAATTATCACCTGTTGTGGGTGTTGTTCTGTATTGTCAAAAAAAAAAACAACAACTCCTGGAAGATCTAGAATGGTCTCAAAAAATTATTTTGTATCCGGAGCTAACTCTATTAGATTGTCAGCGAAAGAGTTGGTGCTGAAACAATGAGTTTTAAATTACTGAGCAAAAGGAAAGTAATCAATTCAATCATTTTAAATCATTAATTACGTAACGATTCTCTGCTTCTTCAGTGTGAGGATCTTTAATTTCACTGTTTTAGGCAAACAAACATTTTGAAAACATCTTGGTTCGATGGATTGTTGATGGGCAATTTGCACCATTTTTGTCAGATGTGAAACAAAAAGACCAGATAGTTGCTGCCAGCCCGGATGGAATGTAGTATGTCCTTCCTTGCATTTTCTACTGATGACCACTAGATGTCACTAAACAGTAGCAGAATTGAAGTTCAGGTTTCCTTCACTACAAAGGGCCCTTGAAAATGATAGAACACCACAAACCTTAATAACGGGTGCAAACCGGCTTTTTTTTATGAATTCAGTGAGGTCAGAGGTGGTGAATGGACACCCCACCTATGTAAGTATCTAAGTATTGGTAGTACATGCAAAATACAAAGGGACATTGGTATTCTGTTACAGTAACTGTGATTAAATTAGACAGAAATGGATGGACATTAGAGAGCTAACTTTAAACATTTCAGATTTTTCCTTTCTGACATTTTGAATGAACAACTACAGGTGCAACAATGTGCTTTGTCCCCTCTCCTCTCAGGTGACCCATTTCTGCCTGCCACAGCTACTGCCGCTGCTCAAGCACTCCATGTCTTACCTACATGAGATTTTCGAGTTCTATGAGGAGATCCTGACGTGCCGCTACCCTTACGCCTGCTTCAAGACGGTGTTTGTGGACGAGGCCTATGTACAAGTGTCCACCTATGCTTCCATGAGCATCTTCAGGTAAGCATGAGGTAGAGTGTGTGCCTGACTCTATCACCCCATTTACACCTGGTATTGAATTGTGATCTGTATCCAGATTGTGTTGAGTGTACAACGTGATTTTGTCTGTATATCAGTGTAACTGGTTTATTTTTAAGGTTAGGTTGTTGTTCAAATTTAGAGAGCGAGCAAGCAAGAAAGTCAATTATGTCCCATGAAAATGCCAAAAGATGCAGAACTGCATGAAAAATGAAAGCATATCATTTATTAAGTCACACTGATACTACAACACACCGGGACAAACAAAAAGTAGTTTTAAAATAAAAACAAAGGAATAACTTTCTAGAATTTAAAAGAGGGGGAAAATAAAAGTTTTTTAAGTTTTCCCTAACTCGACAACTCACAAAACTATGCGGATAACAATGAAGATAATGAGAACACATTAAAATACCAGGTGTAAATGCAAAGGCAAGATCGGACTGTTTTATTATTCGGATAACAAATGTGATACAGGTTGTATTTTAATACCAGGTGTAAAAGCTGTGTCTGTCTTTTCAGGTGAGGAGAGGATTGGTAAATTTGTTTATGTGCAGACAAGACATTCCCAGCTATAGAGAACCTGCAATATTATCTTTGAGGATTCTTCACAGTAACTCTGTTACAGATTGTGGTCTAATCTAGTATTCATCTCACTCTGTCTCAACTTCAGTTGTTGTCTCTGTTTTTCAGCACTAACCTGCTCCACAGCGCTATGATCATAGACCAGACCCCGCTGACACGCCGCTGTCTGGCCCAGGCCTTGGCTCAGCAGTTCTTTGGCTGTTTCATCTCCAGGATGTCATGGTGAGACTCAACACAGCGAGCCTGTCAAGTCTGAGACAGGAAGTCTGAGCCACGCGGGGAGGGTTTGTTTGGAGCTCATTTGAAGGCTTATTTCTCATTGTCAGACTTTAACATTATAAAACAAAAAACAAAGCAACCAAAACTAGAGCTTATTACATGATTAAAACATTGCAGTGGTGTCTAGCATTTGACCAGTTGGTCTGAAATGAAAGATGATTTACCTATGTGGCATTTATTGAAAAACTGATGCCCTTGTAATAAGTGCTTGTTGTTTCTGGATGGATTAGAATCACTACAAATTCTACAGATCTCTGTATCGAAGGTTTTTGAAGGCCACCTGAATATGGTCATTCAAAACAGGCATGAATACTTTTGCCTTCAGATCAGACAGCACGCTGTACAAAGTAGTTCATTCAAGTATTCTGTGACTTTTATTAACCTCTCAGGCCAGATTTGTATGTAATGGAAAAGTACTGTCTTTATTGTTTGGAACCGTGCTCACAACGTACAAACCGCTGTTGAGAGAACCCAGCAGTTCTCTCCATTGTGCTCTGGTCTATTCGAGAAGTGTGGTAACATTTAGCCCTCAGACCTTTTCATATAAGGCAGGTGATGAGAGATTTACAACAGAACTAAGCTATTTTGTCAGCACTAGGAGTCAGAAGTCGGGCCAGCACTGGCCTGTATTCGCCAGCGTGATGGATTGCTGTGCAGCTTGGCTGGTGTGGTCGGAGTGTGTCAGAGATTGGGGGACGGGGGGTGCTTGCCTGTGTTGAAAGGGCCATCAGCAGGACTTTCTCTGTGAGTCTTCCGGAGAGAAATGCATGCGTGTCCCTCCTTCACCTCCTCTCCTCGCTGACCTCTAAACACACATCAGATGTGGGGCCTTGGTCTGCTGATGTTGCTGATGTTGTTGAGCTGGCTGGTGTGTAAGAAAAGGAAAGTCAGATCTCTTTGATTTGAGCAAAGCGTGGCACCCTCTGCTAGCAATTAATCAGAGTGGGGGTTAACTGGGGCCTGTAATTGAAAACAGGCCCTGCTCAGTAGTCTGTCAGGCATATAAAAGAGAAGACAGAAGAAAGAAAGGAGAGAGAGAACTGCTCTTTTCCAAATCTATACAACTGTATTGACAAATAGTGACGTTTTTTTTTTGTCTCTGCCTCGTGTGTCTGTCTAAGAGAAGGTGGATTAGGTTTTCTTCTTAATGAATGTCTGCTGACATGAAGATAGACTTGACATATAGTATCTAGAGCTTAGTTGTCAACTATTAAATAAATCGCTACCAACTATTTTGATCCATTTTTTAAGAAGACATGTCCAAATTCTCTGATTTCAGCTTCTCAAATGTGAATATTTTATAGTCTTTTATAGTCTTTTCAGTGAAAATTTAATTTGTGATGCAAAAATGATCATGCCCACATTAATTGTAAATCATATCACAATATGTCAGTATAATGGTAATGTTGTTTGATGATGTTCTTACCATATCCTGCAGTCCTAAATAGTATCTGAAGGTTTTGTTGTCTAGTTTGGTGTGTTTTATGTTGCAATTTTCTAAGTCTGAACTTGGAGCTACTGTTCAATGTTTCTTATATCTGGGAGGTTGATCTCAAAAAGAAAGGACATTCAGAGCTTCACTCAGAGTTCCACAGGTCTTAATTGTCAATTCTGATATCATCCAAAGAGTATTATGGCAAAGATTGGATCAAATCAATGTAGGGAAAATGCTTTTCTCCATAATGTCGACTGTAGCAGCATACACAGATGAAATCATCTTAACTACATAAGCCAGACTGGATTCAGTTCAGCCTTAAGCGGTGAAACCACCAAGGTTGAATCAGCGTATTATGCCTCTGTTTTTACAAGCTAATAAATCCAGGCTGATAGATTTATGAGAGATGCGTTTGCCATGCCGAGTTTCTTCCTAGAAATACAGCAAGAGTAAAACTCACAAGTGTGGCCTTAAATGATTTAAGGAGGATTTCCACTTTCAAAGAGCACAAAACAGCGTGGGCAGCAAAAAGGTCAACAAAAATGGATTTCATCATCTAATTCTCGTAACTGCATATACCTACCTACTTTCAACTTCACACCTCACTACTGGAGAAGCAGAAGGAACAATCAACAGTGTAATATACTGAGCTTGATTGTGAAATGTTGACACACTTCTTAGTTAAAAATTGGCTCTGGAAGGTGTGAATGAGGTCTGAAGTTAATTCACTTAGACAGCAGTTTGTTTGCGACCTTTCATTCTGAATAATTCTTCAAAAGGTTGGACATAAACCACAAGCCATGAAGGGAATCAACTCACCCCTGATGAATTCATTAATATTTTGGAATGATTTATAGTTTGGGAGCTTTGGCTGCACTGACATTGATATGTTGTTCCCTCTAAAGGGCCGATGAGTGGGTGCTGAAGGGGATCTCAGGCTACATCTACGGCCTCTATCTAAAGAAGACCTTTGGAGTCAACGAGTACCGGCACTGGATCAAGGAGGTAACACTTTTTCTTTCAACTGTCACAGCACTTACAAGGTTACCTTAAAAAATGGTTAATAACAGCCCAACTCCTGCAGTTTTTTTTAGCCATTATTGTTACTTTCTGTTATGTTTATGTTGGTTTAAACAGTTGCTTCACTCATGAGTTATTTTACCCTTACTGTGAGATTAAGCGCCACTGCTCGTTTTCCCTGAACCACATTAAGCATAATATTTTATTAAAAACTGCAATAAATAAAATTTTATTATATCCATCAATCAATATAATTTATTGTTATTTTATTATATCAATAAATAAAATCTGTTGCTGTTGTAGATTCTTA